GTGAAGAGTATAAGTTATGAAGCTCGTCTTTATGCAGTTTTCTCTGACCTCCCGTCACTTCCTCTTTCTTCACTCAAAATGTACTCCTCAGTATCCTGTTCTCAAACAGTCTCAGTCTATGTTCCTCCGTTAATATCAGAGACCAATTTTCATGTCTATACAGAACCACGTGCAATATTAAGTTTTGTATAAGAATGCGGAAGAAAATATTTGACCGGAAATTGTGAAATAATGGGATAACGAAAAAAATTGCACTCTGAGGCGCTGGTACCATTCTGCTTGACATTTAACACAAATAGTTGTTCTACCTGTTCCAAAATTTGTGGTAATTTGCAAGCAGACCACCCTCCTCATCTTCTACCATAGTAGTGTTATGTTGATAAGCATCCCTGAATCTCTCTCTGTCTTTATACGTATCCCTAACTTTCTTCCTTTAACTGTTTGTTTGAACCTGTTTAATTTTGTGTCTGAGATATTCGCTTTTGTTTCTTTTCCAGAAATATCTACTGGCGTCATATTTTACCCTGTTCGGGTTATCTCCATTTAATTGGCTTGGGTCCTCTAACTATTGGAACTTTGCTTGTTTCCTTGGAATATAAAGTTTTTAACATCCTTTGTCTAACCATGGCCTATGGTACATTGGTTCTTAATAATCTAAACTTTCTTTCGCTGAAACTTTATATTAATTCTAATGTTTTCACAAGTCCTGTTGAACGCACATCATCATCTATGTTTTCCAAAGACCAAAAGCTCTTTAAGGTTTTCAACTCGGACTTTTTTTTTATTCCACCTCCTTTAATATCTCGAGATTTAGTATCTCCTTGTGTTCTCGTATATACCTAACTTTTGTATCTACCAGATAATTACTAGTATCACAGTCAGACATTCAGTATACTGACTGCTGTCTTCTATCTCTTAAGTTTATGATCACTCAGGTTGTGTGCCGTAAGAACCCTAATAATATTTACTGAAGATTATACTAATTATGAAGTTCATCAATGTGTAATTTTCCCCATTATCCTGTTGTTTTCTCTCTCTTGAGTTCAGATATTATCTTGGGTATTAACTTATGGAACACTTTCAGTCTGTGTTCTTCTTAAAGGGCTCTAGGAATAGTTCTATGCCCATACAAGACAACGGGTCAATTGGATCTCTGATTTCTTAAGTACAGGCATGTTTATCGCCATTTCTCTATACCGGAATCTGCCTATAGATGCCTATTGATGTGTCCACCTGTGACGCCGGCTCATGTCCGTCGTCTGTGTGCGCACTTCTCCCCTCTACTGTTCTTCCCCCTCTCCTTCCTTGCCGAGCCGGCTTAGTGGCTTACGGAGTGGAGCTAAAGGGCTAAAGGGCTCTTAACCGCTCTTAACTTCCCAACCGTTGAAGGGGTAGGTTGTTTTCATTTTCGGACCTCCGGCCGAGGCCATCCTCGACTATCCGAATTTATTCTTCTACATCAGCCGTGTCAAACATGCTGCCCCCATAGGCACAAAGTGCGGCCCCTCAACTTTTAGACCTAATTGATATTAAAATCAATATTAAAATTTTAGTAGAAATATTTTTTGTGAAGACAATTTTCGAACAGACCAGAAGACAAGAAGTCTCACGCAGACATAAATTAGCAGGCTGCAGGAAATTCAATGTTTTGCTATTTCTAACACAATTTCATGTGTAATCTCTCTTTTTACATATTGAAAAGCTGTTTGATACTTGTAAAAATGGCATTCTCTTGCTTTTTAAAACTGTAAGATATGTGACTTTAGGTAATTATATTGAAATTATTCCCAAATAATGAATAGAATTAAATTTCTTTGTATTAAAATCTAATGTATATTTCTATTTCGAAGTGCGGCCCTGTACTATAGGGCTGAGGTGGCCCTCTGTACAAGTTGAGTTTGACATGCCTGTTCTACATGGTACTGAAATTTAGAAAGCGAAATCTGCAATGATCTTGTAA